TAATCCCCTCCCAGCAGCCCCACCCCACATCACTGAGTGTGCCAGGTGAAGAAGAGGTGGGGGTTCGATGTGAGGGGGCTCCCAGGGCCCATGTGGGTCAGGGTTGGGGGTCAGGCCCCATGGGGGAACAGGGGACACTTACCAGGGTCGGCGGCTGTTTCCCGTCATCGATGCAGGCGTCTGCGGAACAGAGACACCCGCTGAGCTGCACCCCCGGCCGGCCCAGAGCAGAACCCCACACCCAGATCTGACCCCCCATCCATCGTGGGGGCTCAGAGCCCGGCACAGCCAGTCCCCCCACTCCACCCCACAGCATGGGCCAGGGTCATTAGCCCCGTGTTACAGGGAGGGAAGAAAACTGAGGCACAGAGACGGCGGCAGAGTCTAGGGGGTTATGGCGGGGCGAGAGGGGAGCTGGGAGTCAGAACATCTGGGTTCTCACTCCGGCTCTGGGAGGGGAGTGGGGTCTAGTGGTTAGAACAGGGGGCTGGGAGCCAAGAGTGAATGGGGATTCCCCACAGATCACTGGCTGGGAAGGTCTGATGGAGAACTGAAGGGGGGACACACAAAGACACAGGCCTGTGGGGGAGAATGGGGGATACTCAGAGGGAGACCCCGAACTAGAGGGGGAGGGGAGGGTGGCCCCCAGGGAGCTGGTGGGGAGGGAGGCAAGAAACTCAGCTGACACCAGCTACCTCTGGGGCCTTCTCCTTAGTCCCGCCCAGCAGCAGCTGTAAATCAGACCCTGCCCCATGTGGGGGAAGCCCCTACAAGCTCTATCCCTCTCCAGGGGTCCTGCCCCACTCTGGTACCCCCTTGGGTGTGTTACTTACAGATGGGGTCTTGCTGAGCTGGGGCCTTCAACACCCCCAAACGGCTGGTGTCAAAAGAAAGAAAATCCCCTTGTAAATGTCATAGCCCCCCACCCGCAGGGAGATTCCCTATCACACCCAGAGAGCCCCCCATCCTCCCTCATGCTGTACTCTAAACCCCTGCTCTAACCACTAGACCCCACTGCCCTCCCCAAGCTGGGACAGAACGCAGGAGCCCTGTGACCCCGGCAGGTCGATCGGGATGGGGAGGAGCCGGGTTCCTACCTGCTCGGTCTCAGTGCAGCTCCTTTTCCTGCAGAGGGACACTGATGCTCTGTCCCTCGGGGGAACACCATGTTCATCTTTATAAAATGATTGTGTGGCATCCAGTGCAAAGTTTGGCATGTTGGGTGTCTTCGGAAGGCTCATAATGCACTGAGCATGGTTGTTATAGGGATGTTATAGTAATGGTTACAGTGATGTTATTGTAAGGTTATAGGTTATAATTTCATGTATATAGTTATGAGGCTGAAAATGTATCCTCGTGGCTTAAAGCAAGCCCAGGCAAAACTCTCCCGAAGCAGAGGGGCAGTTCACACCTCATCAGGGCATGTGTGAGCCAAACCCAGCCCAGCCTCACAGGAACAAAGGACGTCGGCCTAGGCAGCAACAAAGAATCTCTTAGATCCTCAAGGGAATCACCCCCCTTCCTTTGGTCAGTTTGAAACTGCGATGAGGTAATGCTCACCTGACTCTGAGAGGGGGAGGGGGGCAAAACCTGGAGAAAAGAAAGCACATGATAAAAGGGAGAAACATTTTGCCATACTCTCTCTCTTCCACCTACATCTACAGACACCACCACCAAGCGACTGAAGCGCTGATCA